CTCTCTCTCTCTCTCTCTCTCTCTCTCTCTCTCTCTCTCTCTCTCTCCGGTCCGCGCGCTGGGGGAAAAGCAGATAGAAGCGGAAGTTTTGTCGCCTGGCTGCTGCTGTTTGTCCTCAGAGGGAGCATCGTGACTATTGTAGACGCTGTTGTTGCTCATTTTCAAGTGCACTTTGAAGAGTGCTCGTGTCAGTGTGGTTGCAGATAACAAGTTGTTGACGCTCGATGCGGGTGTGTTGTTTCTCTGTTGAGAGAGAACGGACTCCCAGTGTGCGATGAAGGTCAAGCAAACAGGTTCATTTCCTTTCCTTCACAAACAAGTCAAACGCAGTCTGGAGAGGCTGCGCGCTGTCTCTCGGGCTTTTTTTGGCACACCTCCGCTTATTTGGCACATTGTGTCCGTTTTTTGCGGGGGATATCTCTTGTTGATGTGTGTGTGTGTGTGTGTGTGTGTGTGTGTGTGTGTGTGTGTGTGTTTGTGTGTGTGTGTGTGTGTGTGTGTGTGTGTGTGTTGGGAGAACACAAACTGCTGACTGGCCACAGCTGTACTGCACAGACAGCTGCTGTTAGTGGTCGACTCCCACCAGCTTCCTCTAAAGACAGACTACTGCTCCCCCCCACCACCCACCCATTTTATAATCTGAAGCTGTCCAGTTGTAGTTTTGGGGTTGCACTGCTTGAGTGATTTCATTAATGCATGTGGGTTAGAATATGTGGAGATCGGAACAGTCTGAATAAAGCATCAAGTCATTGTTTTAAGCTTCTCTGATGTGAAGGCTCTCCACTGAAAAACTGAATATCACCACATTTTGAATTTTGTTGGTTGAACAAACGTTTTATTTCGCAGACCAAATGATTTATCTGTTGAATAAGAAACTAATTAGCAGATAAACAAGATAGAAATCATTTTCTTTATTTCTCTGCAGCCATGATTCCCTTGCAGGGAGTAATGAGATAACATCCGGGTTGCGGCATCATGCCTGAACTTAAGACACATCCTACAGACGGAAGTCACTCTTAATACGAAAAGTCTGTTTTCTGATTCACACGCTGGATACACACCTAGTTTGAGGTGTTTCTGTTATTTAGTCCACCCCCGGTGGTTGTGGTGGGGGGTGTTTTGTTGGACTGCGATTGTTTTACAGTAGCCAGGTGGATCTAGTAAACCAGCAACTGAGTGGACTTTTATTGTTGCTTTTACAGTAAATGTGAGATGTTCATAAAACACTGCCTCCTGTAAGTGGAATCACAGTAACGTGCTTTTACAACCTTCAGTAAACACATGTTTCATTTTGCACAGCATGCAAAGGAAAACAGTCGATATGGAAAAGGAGGAATGGTAATTAACTACACGCTGCTAACATAAGAACAGACATAAGACAGTGGTGTAAGAGCTGAAGCTGGAAGCCACATTAGGTTTGATTTCCAAAATAGGTTGGCATATTCAGACAATTCATATTAGTATGTTTTGCTTCTGCCAGTTGCTCTAATTTCCCCAAATGTACCCGATGCTGGTAGTTGTTTACCTGCAGGAAAACAACACACAAGTTCTGTGTTTTAACATAGAATTTGTATTTTTGTTTTGATGAAGAAATAAGGTAGATAGCTTGAGTCACTTTAAAAACAATCTTGGAACCCACTGTCTATCGGTCCAGAACTGGTTTAGCCTCTGGGGGCAATGGGCTATGTTTCAGGGGTTCCGGTGTAGCCAACAAATATCCGGGCCCAGACTTCCTTTTTCCGTGTGCTGCTCCTTGTTAACAGTCCGATTAGCAACTTGAGAAACGCAACAGAAGTTCGGAGAGGACGTGTACAACATGATCTTTTTACAAGTTTCCAGTTTTCAAGCTCGTTTTAAAACAATAAAAAGCTCCGCCTCGTTTGCTCTCAAAACGGACCGTTCACCTGCATGCAACCAAAGCCAGCTGGAACGTGATTGTTCCGTACCACGTGGACTACTAACTGAAACTACAAGGTTTCCTCATTTGAAATTCTCGTCCTCTAGATTCTGTATGTGAATGCATCTGGTTATAGAGATTACAAAGAGAAATCCATGGCCAGCTCAGCTCTTTGTTCTCATGGGTTACTGCCCATGTGTCCACTGTTACATGGAATCTAATGGGCAGATTGTGAAAATGTACTGAGTTCAATTTAAGGCCATTCATGCTCCCCAGAGCATGGACCTTTCCATTTTGGACAAGCTCCACTTTCAGGCCATGTCGGCTTTGCACACAATATATACAGTACATATATAAATATATAAATGATAACCTTATGTTCAGATTTCAATGTTTCCTGCTTCCAAAGGGATAACTATTTTTATTTTAATGACTCCATGACCTTTCTCCCTCCAGCTACAGCCTTTGAAGAAAGTTTACACTTTCAGCGCTACTCTATACGAATAACAAAATTGTTACAGTGCTCATTTTGCCAGACATGGTGGAATGTTAGAAAAGAAATAATGCAGCTTTCTAGCAGCACTTGAGACCTTTCCTGCCCTTTCTTTCTACATTAGAAATGTGAAAAGTGAGTCCCGACGGTAAATGAATTGCCAGCAGCATGACATCATTTGATCTTTGGGGTTTATCTTTGCTCTCTCAGGGCGATTGTGACACCAGGCTTGTGTTGGGTTTTGAGCAGTTTATGTTAAGCTGAGGAGCTGAGCTAAACTGACAGCTGCATTACTCATTTATGGCAGTCCTGCGGTTCTCAGATGTGCGCACTGATCACGTCTGACACACTGTGCCGAGATGAAATGGTGAGATGCTCCTGGAGGTCAGATAGCTGCTCTCATATTTACCAGCGAGAAACAAAAAAAAACGGAGGCGAGTAGAGATGCGTCACGGCTGGTTCGTGTGGCCTTGTCAAGTGGCAGCCACTTCCTGTCAGGAGTCCCTCTGCTCTTTCTTCAGCTTCACAAAGAGACAAGTATGTCAGTCAATACATCAGCATTTCAATCTGCCATTCTCAGCAGCAGTTAATTGATACTGTACTGGTGTGACCTTTACAGTAATGGCCAAATGATTGGCAACCGAGGAGCTATGCGCAAATGTGTCGAAACAACGATTTCTTCCTGTTGTTTTTTTTACTTTTTACTCTGTATTTTATGAAGACAGTACTTCTACTTGACTGGCGGAAATTTGTCTTGACACCAGCAAACCACAAGGTTCCCTCCAGCAATTACACCAGTACCAGTAGAAGTGAGAAAGCAGAGGGTTGAGTGCTTTCTCTTAAAATATATTGAGCTCTGCGTTCAGTTCTGTGCATAATTTCCCAGCTGCATTCTTTAAATGCTTTAAATGAGGCCGTGTTGACCACTTCAGCTTGAGTGGTTTTATATTTACAACCAAGATGCCCATGTCAGGGTGCTCAATTGTAAGTTAGCATACTTTTTACTAATGATGTAAACAGTCCAAAATATTCTGGCTAATACCCAAGCCATGTGAGTAAGTACAATGTTGAATACATTTGATTTAAGTAACAAGAAGTCAATGGGATTACAATTTAAATGGAATGTTGAGGTTGACTTCTTTGCTATCTTGTCAGGAGATGGATGACAGTGTTGTTATCAGTTGTGTTTTGGTGCATTCAGTGAACAGACTAGTGAGGGGCTTAGCTTTGCGTTGGTGCTGGAGGGTGTTTTCTATCTGCCACTTATATATATATATATCTATATCTATGCATTAAACCGATACGCCACAGAGTCTTTATTTCATACAGTCTATGCGTGATGTTACTAGAAGCCTGTCAGTGAGTGGAGCAGTCCGTTGCCCGTGCTAAGATCCAGGCCATTGGGTGGATGCAGTAGCACGGCCACCATACGTCTCCGTATTTCTACCTTGGTTTCAACCTTGACAGCTGAGGCAGCGAGTCTGGAGGCTACACCGACAGCCGCTCCCTGTCGCCACTAGTCCACTAGTTAATCCGACAAATGCTAAAATGGATAGCTAAAATACGTGAGCAGCTGTTCATTTATCCAGGTGGCCTGCAAGTAAAGTCTATGTGATGGGAACACATTAAGCTCTAACCTATCTTCTGCTAACCTCACTGAACTTGTCTTTTTGTTGTGCGTTTTCTCCGTCCACCAAAGTGGCACAGGGCCTGACGGTTTGACCTTCCACTACCAACAATGTTTCTGCATTTGCCGGGTGCTAATTTCAAACCCTTCGTATATATCTCCCGAGTTATGTGTGTTCTTTACTGGCCGGTGGTGAGCCTACATTGACTTTTACTTATGCGAGCTGTGGATGTGCAGTCTCTGGGGGCTAAGATGGCTGCTGAGGCCACTTCTAAACTGTAACATTAAGCTGGCTGCTTGTTCACTCACAACGTCCCATTTATTGTTTCTACATGACTCTATAGCAGAAGATGTTATATAGATCTGAAAGAGAAGGTATCATTCCATAGCAGCAGCTTTGGATGTTGATTATTTTCCTGATGAATCGATTAATCATTTGGTTTGTACAAAATTAAACATTTAATCAATCACAGCTTCCGAGAGCCAAAGAAGATGATTTAATTTTCTACAGTTTTAGAGAAGAGAAATCAAGAAACCTACAGATTGAAGAATCATTTTCACTTGAAAATGAAATAGACTAATAATTAGTAAATCATTGTTTCAGTGCTGAGGCTTCTTCTGAGGGAATATTTGCTGCAGTGAGAGGAAACTGAGGCTTTCATTACAGATGATGATACTCTCTGCAGGTCAGTGGGAGGAATGTTGCTGTGCTCTTAGTGTTTCCCTTGCAGCAGGTAGAGACCGCTGCTCAAGACATCCATCTTTTATTAGCCTGAATGTTTCTGGTTTAGCAAAGTACCACACACATACACACACGCACACGCACACACACACACACACACACACACACACACACTTATATCATCTTTAAATTTCATGT